ACACACACACACACACACACACACACACACAAAAGGAAATAATTATCAATAAATTATCCTAGTGGAATATTTACTTTGTCATGTCATCCTCAATATAAAACCTCTCATTTCTTCTTTAATTTATGGTGGATCCATGTGGCAATTCAGAACATTTTAACAGTTAACCTTTTATGACACCTATTGTATGTTAGGCATTAAGCACTTTTCATGTATTAATGTAATCCTTATAACAACTTTATGAATAGGAATACTATTATTCCTGTATTATATATGAGGAAATAGAGGCCAGAGAAATTATCAAAAGACAGAGACTATATTTTATTAAACTATCTGAAATATCAGAGATTTTGAACTTTGGCTGAAGCCACATACTCCGTTTGGTTAACTAAAAGTAAAGAATTGGTCAAACTTTTACTGCCAGATGCTTTTGTTTTCATGATACTTGACTGGTAACAGTTACTTGTTCTTTACATTGTTAGAGTTACATTACCAAATCTGCATAACCAGGTTATATTTAGATTGCCTATGGTTGAAACTAAAGTTTGGAAAACAAAGTTGTAAAAAAATAGTCTGAAATGGTCTCTCTCAAGTGTGGATTGTGGTGACCTGTGAGGCTGCTCTTTAAAGCATCTGCCCTCTCAAGGGTTTCTTTACGGAAACAAATGTTATCTCTTCTAAAACAACCTTTCAGGTTGTTTATGATATTCTGGCAAGATTATCCTTTCATATACAGATATTACCACTCTTGAAAAATGTGTGTCTCATTCTTAGAAATATGGGGCTGCTAATGCAGTCATCCATTTTTGCATTGTTGGGTTGCTTCATAAATGTTTCCTTATTCTTGAATGTTGATAACTGTTACATAAATGATTAGTAGATTGATCCAAAGGTGTCTTGACATACCTTTTTTCTTCCTTTGAGATACATGTATGTGTTTCCCTTACATTTGAACTAGAGTTTCAAACATACTTACTCAAATACAGGTAAATCCCAGTCCAGTTTATTCTTAAATCAATTTTTAACAATAGTATAATAATGTAGCAGTCCTTTCTACTAGCATTCAAATGTGGGGTTTTTGTGGTTTTTTTTCGGATCTGGGAATCAAACCCAGGGTTACCATTGATGTACATCCTCAGCCCTGGTTTTTTAAGACAGGGTCTTGCTGTGTAAGTCAGACTAGCCTCAAATTGAAGATTGTCCTGCCTCTGCCTCCTAAGCACTGTGACTGCAAGGATGTGCCACCATGCCAAGTTCAGATTTTTTGTGTCCTTAAGGAATAAAATGATGTTCCAAAAACCAGTGTACAGTAATATTTCACTCAGCATTAACCTAAGTAACAAACTTAGTTCTCTCTATTGAAAAGACTATATTACTTGTTGTGACCAGGTTATGGAGCAAATGTTGAAATGCACGAATGTTTATGAACGTAGTAAACAACGTATTCGACTTAGAGAAGTTGGCTACTCAGGATTGGGACTTCTTCTTAATGAAGCAGCTGTTAACACTTCTCTCATTAAAAACCTTACCAATCAAATCATAAATACAGGTATGACTAAGTCTAATAATACTAATATGTTTAAGAAATTGGTTTTTTTCCTGGGAGATTTTTTTTTAATCTCCTTTCTTAGGTTGCTGTTTAAATCACCTGTTACTTATTCAGCAGGGTCTTCCTTAGGTATTCGCTCTTCACTTTGGTTGTTTTCGTCTCTTCAGAGCATACATCACATTGCCTGACTCAGTAAATTGTTCATTTTGTGGAGTGATTAATAGTTGAATCTGAAAACAGGAAAAGGATACTAGAGAAAAATGTTTACAAAAGATTCTTTTTCTTGAAGATTTAAATTCTTAAAGGCAAAATGAAAGTTAATTTCAGATAATTCTTTTTTGTTTTTAATTTATTTTTTTTTGCTAGAGGGTCCTGTTAGATAGCCCAGGCTGGCCTCTCATTCATGATCCTCTTGCCCCAGCCTCCCAAGTACTGGGATTACAGGTATCTGTTGCCACATCTGGCTCTAATTTTTTGTGATTATCTTTTCAGTACTTATACCAAATTGGAATTCATGGCAGATGCTAGAAGAGCAGATTTGGGTATGAGATAGGGTTCTTTTTTTTACAGTTTACCAAGAGGTTTATCAAGTCTCATTGGTAATATAAAACATTTATATAAAAAGATAAATAATAGTATTAGAGCCATGCAAATGGGGCAGTATGTTCAGGCAATCAAAAGAAAAGAAATTATTTAGGGTTGAGAGGGTATCAAAAATATTTTATAAAATTGGAACATACCTATAATTGTCATTTGAAAATGAAGCAATTATTTTGGCATTTATGTAAGTAATAACTACAGTTCTTTCTTTGGCTGTCCATGAAATAAAATTTTAACTTTTTGTTTCTTCCTACTGTAGATTCCGTTATTAATTTCAAAGATCTATTATCTGTAGTATATATATCTCACAGGACATATGTAAATGTCAGACTGGTCCTCTGCAGAAAGGTTAGTAAACTTTCAAGATGTATTTTAGCAATAGTATCATCATCTACTGTGAATAACTTTTCCATTGAGTAGATTTCAGCAGACAAAAAATTTTAATTTTACTTATTTTATAAATGACATTTATAAATAAATAACTTCCCTCTAAAAATGAATTAATTTCATGTAATCACAAGAAATTAGCATGTGAATTTGTTCTTTTTAGCTCTACATCGTCTTTTGGAAATACATCCTTCCCAGAATAAAAAATTTGTTAGCATTATTTTTTTTTTCTTTTTTTGTGGAACTGAACTCAGGGTCTTCAGTATGCTAGGCAAGCATTCCATCACCGAGCATACTCCTAGCACTTTTTAAAATTTTTAGTTTTGAGTCAGTGTCTTGCAAAATTGCCTAGGCTGGCCTCAAACTTGTGATCTTTCTGTCTCAGCTTTCTGAGTAGCTAGGACTCAGGCATGTACCACCACAATTGTGGTGACCAGTTGTAACCATTTGTAATTGATATGCCATATTTTAGAGTCTCTGAGTCTTTTCAGTTTTGCAGGACATTATTTGTTCGTAAGTATTCCAATATGATTCTAATATGATTTGTCTTTAGTACACATTTAAACTTCAACTTGAGAGATAGTTTCCTGGGTGCTTCTTCCTGATCATAACCTTTTCTCTCCTCCATTGATAATCCCTGACCAGTCTACTATTTAGTGTTTCCTTTTTTTTTTTTTAATTTTACATCTTAGTTATGTGGCAATACTTTTCTGTTAGTTAAAAAATATAGAGAGATGTATATATCTTTTCATTAATGGATGCATAGTTTTTCGTTCTATGGCTATTGTAGAGTATTATCTGGTTCCTTATTGATAGACATTTAGGTTTTCCTTGTTTTTCTATATTTTAAACTGCTATTAAGAACAGCTTTTTACACGTATCTTTGTCCGTTTGTGGTAATATATCTGTAGGACGTTCTTCATGAAATACAACTGCTATGTCAAAGGGTATTCATGTTTTACATCTTAATGTATTTTAACTGTACCAATTTACATGTCCACAATGTGTGACATTGACTCTTTCCCTTCATACTCAATCCTAAGAATTTGAAACAGGTCATGTAAATTGATTTTTTTCCTTTCAGTGTACAATGAGATTAAAATAGCCTCCAGTGCAGTTTGATTTTTATCCATTATATATGTATAAAACAGATATTTTTAAACTACTATTTTGTGAAAACTTCAAAGTCATGAAATCATGAAAAGTTTCTTTGCCATGCAAAGCTTAATCTAGGAGAAAACTGTTATTTTGTACCATTAGAACAAGGGTAACTCACTGATAACATTTGTGAAGAAAGAAACTTCATGTCACAATGGTGACTAATTACTTCCTATATCAGCAAATATTATTATTA